CCCTCGCCTCCTCCATACCTGCTTGTGCACATCAGTGGGGGAGAAGTCCCCAAAGGCCTGCCAGCCGTTCTCGTCATCCTCATAGAAACGCACCTCGATGTCATCTGGGGAGAGAAGGGGCACCTGGCACTGCCTGTCTCCCCACCCTGGCCAGGCTCCAGAGACATGGACCCCTGGCTGCCCAGGGGCCCTGGATCCCTCCCACTGTAGCCCCTCTGGAAGGTTTTGGCTGGAGGGAACGACTTTTACCTTTCTGAACTTTATCACACAGCAAGTAGACCTCATCCCCTCCTCGCACAGAGCCTGCAGTCTTATCCATCCGTGAGATCTTCAGGTTGGAAGCTCCCGGGGACTCTGCAGAGCGAGGAGGCATTGGGAGCTGCCATGGCAGACAGAGCATCCCCCATCTCCTTACCCTGTCCTGCCCCATCCCCTCCACAGCCTGGCCCCGTGCTCACTGCTGTCGTGGATGGGGTCCGAGATGACAGGCTGGAGGGCCAGTGTGAAGTTCCCGCTGCTGTCGCGGAGGTAGGCGGTGAAGCGCAACCGCACGATGCTCAGATCCATCACCTTCTTCAGCTCCTTTGCCTCCACCTCGATCTCACGCAGCTCCGCTTCTGCCAGGGCAGGCAGAGATACCGTCAGGCTAGGTGAAGGGATGGGGCTTCAGGTCCCCCCGCCCGTCACCCCCCAGCCTCATGCTAACCCCGGCTCCCCAGCTGTAGGTGAGTCCCTGCACCCCCCCCAAGGCACCGAGTCCCACCGAGACCCCAGATTGCCCTCACCTGTCAGCAAATGGCTCCTGTTGCGCATCTTCTGCTGCTTCAGCTTTTCCTTCATGATCTCCATCATGTTCTTCTTGGTTACGTGAAGCACACCCAGGTTGCTGAACCTGGAGGAGAAGAGGGATCCCACTAGGATCTGGGAGCAGCTGTCCCAGGGGGCACACAGGCTCCCACAGCTGGGAAGGAGCTGAGCACAGCACAGAGCAGTGGGGGATCAATGTGTGCGAGGCATAGGAGGAGCAGCTGCAGAGGAGAGGAAAGGAGCCCAGAAAAGAAGTGGCTGATAAACTCCAGGCTCCCACGGGTGACAAGCCCAAAGACCAGAAGGGCTGGAAGCCAGGGGGATGCAAATAGGACCAGCCTGAGCCACCAGCTGGGGCTGGATTTGTAAGAGCAACTGCTGTGGCCCCTCCTGTCCCACACCAGCAGAAGACCCAGGGAAAGCACCCTCTTCTCCAAATGTGGCTGTTGAGCCAGCATTGTCAGGGTACATGGGCACCTGAGCAGCCAGGAGCCTGCCTGCTCCTGCCTCAGCAGCTGCCTGGGCAGGGAGCCGCCCTCCAGCACTTACCAAATGAACCCGCAACTCAGACTGCCCACAAAAGTAATCTGCAAAGCTGGGGAGCTGCAATCCCAAAGACAGAAGCCCAAAACAAGCGGCACGTGCCAGACCCAGAGGTGGGCAAAATGCTCAGGGCACAGAGCTGTACTGATGACCTTGACCAAACCCAGTCCTGGCCCCATCCAGAAAACCCAGCTCCTGGATGCACTAATCGTCCTCTT